AAAAAAACAGCCTTGTATAAGGCTTATATGAAGGTAACACAGGCTGCAGCTGTATTAGCTACATTAGCTTAATATCTAAATGACAAAGTAAAGGCTACAAATGCATAATAAGCATTCATGATTATCAAATGTGTATTTTCACTGCAGCGTGTCCTGGAGAGAATGACGCACCACGTGACGACTCTGGTTTAACTTTAACTTCCATTTTTTGTCTTCATGCAATTGTAGAAATACAGTAAATAAATCTGCTTTTTGGCTCAGAGTTCACATCACAGGCTGAAGTTTGCTGGAGCTGAATGTCCTTAATGGCCTTTTCTTTCACCGTTTTTGCGAAGGTATTTGAAGTCTGAAAATAGGTGCTCTGAATTTGCGATGAATGAATCCTTCACGTGATCACCGTGAACGGTGTTTAGCGCGTCATTGTTCCTCGTGTTGTAACAAAACTTCTCAATACAAACATGAAGCAGTCCTTCCTCATTGACTGAAAGCAAATGTTCATACTTATTCTTAGTACAGACTTATTATCGACTCTTTCTCCTTTTAGCTTTGGGATCCGTGCGCACACGCCGGTTTGTTTACAGCAGCAGCCGCCTAACGCGGGCCGGTTCACAGGATATGACGCACTACGTTGACAGAAATGTCGAAATTGAATATTACTTACGCACATTTTTGCAGCATTTAAAAACGTTAAGAATGTTTTTCCTCCTACAGAAACCACATTCAAACTAGAAATAAAATATAGCCCTCCCACTCCATTTCAGACATTTTTTAAAAGACTCCAGCCGCAGGTTGCCGACCCCTGGTTTATACAGCATGGAAGAAAATACTAGAGGATCAGGATATGTGCAGTTTCAACAATTGAAATACAGTGCAATAGTCTACATTACAAGAGAGTAATAAACATGTCTCAGAGTGAAGGAGGTGGACACAGACAACACTATTGTTTGTTACAGGGATGAGAATTGGTCAAAAAAGTCTGAAATGCATAATGCCAGCCATTGTCTCTCACTAAATCTGTTTGATTTGTTCACAACATTTTACTACATGGGCTCAAATATTAACTTTTAATGCAATGGAAAATTTAGGTACCTGAGCTTTAATTTAGTCGCTCTTCGAGAGGAGAGGGGAGACGCGGACTGTTTCCTGCTGCGGTGTATTTATTGGGTGCACAGATTACACAAAGAAATGCATGGTCCTGTGCGCGTTTATGGTCTTGGGTATATGGTCACGTTGAGGCTACGCGCTCACCGTGTTGTGTTGTGAGCGGTTCCCGCGTCCAGCTCAGAGCCGCTGGATGCTTGAACCGCTCATTACAAAGCGGCCGCAGCTGTCTCGGAACACTGCGGCTGCTGAGGTGGCGGAATCCCGTTCGAGTACATACAGCAGTTGGCCGCGGACATGCGCGCCCCCCCTCAAACATTTTTCACAAACATGTTTTTTGTATGAAGCAGACAGACCGGCCCAAATATGGGCATCGGCCCTTCGGGCATTGCCCGGTACGCCCGATGGCCAGTCCAGCCCTGTTCATTGACAAACAGCGGCTTCCAAATTAATTTAACAAATACTGTATCTTCCTTCTCAATCCTTTTCAATCCCAAGATATTTTCTAGCTCCAAGTTTGTTCAAGAGTAAGACTTTTAAAGACTTAGATAACTTAGATATACTTCTAAAAGGGGAATGAAGAGGAAGAAGGTTTTTTCTGAATTTGGATGCTAACTCCAGGGCACCCCCTCTTGGACACCACTGAATGCTATATTTACATTATGCACTAAAAAGGCTTTAATATGTCAGTTAGCTTTTAGAGCACAGTGTACAGCGTTTATTAATTGTAGGTGTTAATTGTAGATGTTTAAGTAAGTCCATTCACTAAAAAGGCAGGTCCAATAGGCAATAGACTCTTTTGAAGTTATTTTGGGCTTTTACTGATCCCTTGTGGCCTGCAGCTGACTCTTCTGCATTTTTTAGAGCTGAGAATTTAACTCAAGAAATTATCTACTAAAATTCATCTTAAAATTATCTTCTGCTGATTAAGTTAAAATACCTTTAATTGTTCTTTTGTGCCACTTGAGGATAACTCAAACAATTAACTGTGTCTTATTTGAAGTCTCCTATCTTATCAAGGCATACAGTAAGGCTGTAACAAGTTAATCATTAATTGCAAGTAATCGATTATTCAAATAGTTGTTAAACAATTTAGCAATAGATTAATTGTTTTAACTGCAGCAAAACCTTCCAAGAGGTTTTATGACTCCAACAGAGATGCAATCAATACAAAATCACATGGAATCTTTCCTTATCAAATCAACAATTAATGTGACACCAAATGTATGTTCCCGATTGGCATCACTTTCACTTGTCAATTGTATTATTCCACAGATTCACACAAATTATTGATTGGTCTATATGTCATTTTTGGGTCGGGGGGATTGCAATTAGAGCTGCCACCCAAGTCTCATTGCACCAGTCCCTCGCTGATCCTCCTGCAGGTGGTGGGTCCACCTGCATAAACGAAATGGCCTTGGTCTTTCAGCGGGGGGCTTCAGGCAATGTGGGGTTAAGCGTCTTGCCCAGGGACACAACGGCAGCAGACATCAGTGGGAGCAGATGACATGAGTTGTGGTGAGCTCGAACCCATGACCATTAGGTCCAAAGACCAGTGCTCTACCAACTTAGCTACTGTCGCCCCGCTTAGTCTACATTTTTTTGTGTTAATTACAGATTACACTTCCAAATGCTTCCAGGCTGTGCAGCAACCAGCTTAATAAATGAGTGAAAAGCAGAAAGGAAATGGTTCCAGTATTGTTATATAAAGGGATTGAGTGAGAAAACAAAGCTGTCCTTTGTGCGATTATTGTAGATCATACGTAAATGCTTAATCTATCCATGTCTACAACAAGCGGATTACAGTTACAGGCCTGTGGTGAACTGATACTGTAGGTCAACATTCATAACTCCATTTCACCTAACAAAATATATAACTACGGATACTATTCTACAATGAAAAATTACATTTTCCAAGGATTAGTTATAACTGGAAGAAAAAATTGGAAAAAACTGTTTTGGGATTTTGGAAAGAGACGAGAGACTTTGAAGATGGCTCAAGAGATTGTTTGAAGACGTGCCATATCTTAAAGTCAGTAAATGCCTGTTACTTTTCAAATTGTGAAGAAAGAGTGAAACCTTTTGAAGACAAGTATGGTCAGACCTGCCCATGCTCACCCTTGCAGCCTCCTGATTGGTCCAAATTATATCAAATACTTGAAGCCCATCATCATTGGTTTAACTATTCTCCTCCATCTTACTAGTGGTAGTTATGCCAAAGGGAGGGACAACTTTTAATGTATTATTGCCCCATGGTCAGATATACATTCTTTAAAAAATATTAATTAAAAAAGTGGTTGCTGACATCACCTTTAATAAAGAAATAAATGATGCAAAACTAGCTGCGGTAATCAAGTTAGCACAAAGCCTTGTATTGACATTGACAATAAAAGTATGTGATCCACTACTGTACACTTCCTCTGAGAGAAAGTAGGTGAGGAAACCGCACACCCATTCATCACGACACTCAACAATGTGGGACAGCCTCAGAGCTTCAGAGAGCAGTTATTCATTCGATGTTGCAACAAATGTGCGTACATGTTGATGACGGAAAACCTCAAAATGTAACATGACCTTTAGTTACAACACAGGCCTAGTGCATGCATTAGTTCAACCCAAGCATGCGTTTTCTACAATCTTTCACAATTTTCTACAGTTTTGGTACATAGAGAGATTCACAGAGGTTTTTGAAATATTGGCCTTATGCTTTGGAAAGTTATAGGTAATTTTAAAGCAAATTTACTGAAGAAATTACCACATAATCTTTTTTACTCTTAGCCCAAAACACAATTACACGTTGGTAAATCAGTCAGCAGTAATCGACCAGCAGTGTCTCTATGTCAGGGGTCTCCAACCTGTAACTCGGGAGCTACCAGTAGCTCGTCAGCCCCTTTCAGTTAGCTCCCCAAAGGATTTAGAATTTAATGCATGATCTTGAATGAGTACATTTTGAGCCATTACATAATATCAAAAGTAGGGTTTGCAGTATTATGGTGTATTTTGCATGTGTTCTCCATGTTTTGTCGTAATTATTACATGGATTTTTATTACAACTTCAAAACAGGAGTAGCTTTCTGCCTCTTCTGTTTTATAAAAGCAGCTCTCCAATTAAAAATGTTGGAGACCCCTGCTCTATGTTTTACAAAAAAAAATAAAAATAAACTTCCTTCCACAAATATAACAGTTGAACCAAGTGCAATTATAGTTCCAGAGTGTATTTTATTTTATTCTATTTTACCATCTTATTATTTTAATTGTATTGTCTTTTATCTTAAAGGATAGACCATGTTTGATGTGTGCAATCTGCTTCACTGAGATTTCCCCACTGTGGGACAAATAAAGGAAAATCTTATCTTCTCTTATATCTTGGTTGGCGTTAACTTTCCCTCTCATTCACTTCTTTTAAAATAAACCTATAGTTCTCCTCAACTATTGGCCAGTAAGACTTTGGAAAAATATGTACTAGCAATCACAACAGAAAGCACACAGCAGTGGCTGAGTGGTTAATGTCAGTCCTCATGTTTTCTACTGGACCTTTGTCTGGTCCATTGAAACTATTCTGTTTATAATCAACAATGTTTGATTAGTTTTCTTGGTCTCTATGGTAAGCCAATCAACAATACAAAAGAAAAAACTGGGTAAACTGTATGCAAAAAAAACACTTTGTCCATTTTCATAATCTCAGCAGCTGGAAAACCCAACACGAGATCTATATTTGGTTAAATGCATGATTCCAATAACACTCTGAAGGAAACACAAACTTACAATTATAGGAAAGTATGTGTTGCTATTTTTTTGGTCAAGGTAAATTATGCACAAATCCCCCAGACATTCCAGTGTAGGCTACAAATGTGTGGTATTTTTGTGAAGTGATAAAAGATAAATGAACGCAGTAATGGATGGATGGTGAGCCTTGGGTCGTCGCCGCTTTGCTAACGCTGTGGGCCGGCGGAATAGTGCAGTGTCAGTGTCCCAGGGTGATGTTTTCTTTTGCATACGTCAGTGCCACGAATAGACACACAAAGAGGGTGAAACGAGGAAACTCCAAAAGCCATTCACTGCTCTGTTCCTGTAACGAGGTGTTGTAAAAAGTCTCTGATGATAAGCGGTCTCGTGTAGATGTGTGGCCTTCAGGTGACTGTAGCATGAGTCTGTCCCGTGACCTTTGGAAGTTTGGATGACGTCTGACTTCCTCGATGAGATAAAAAAGGATTGTCCAGGGAGACTTCAGAGAAAACTCACGTGGTAAACGGAAATCATGGATCACCAGCTGGAATAGTGATTTAAGGTGATGTCTGTAACTTCAATCTCTTCACAATGAGAAGTATTACATCAATTATATTACATCATATAGAATGTCAAACTGTTCATTTTTGATAAATTATAAAGCAACAGTGGTTGAGAGGCAAAGGCAAAAGCACAAGAAGAGTACGCAGAAGCAAATAGGAACGTCAAAAGAAGTATTAGAACAGACAAGCGTAACTACTTAGAGGCACTGGCAACAGAGGCAGAGGAGGCAGCTCTCCATCACAGAACCAAGGATCTGTATTCCATCAGCAAGAGAATCACAGGAAAGTTTGCCAAACCGGAGAGACCAGTAAGGGACAAGAACGGAGGAACGATAGCCGATGACGAAGGGCAGAAAAAGAGGTGGATCGAGCACTTCCAGGAGCTACTGAACAGGCCAGCTCCTGAGAACCCACCGGAGATACTGCCAGCCACTAGTGATCTTCCGATCACGTGCTACGCACCCACGAAGGAAGAAATACACAGCGCCATCAAGCAATTGAAGAACGGCAAGTCTGCAGGTCCCGACAGCATACCGGCAGAAGCGCTGAAGGCTGAAGTCGATACTTGTGTAGAGCTATTCTACCCGCTCTTCATCAAGATATGGGAAGAAGAAGAGATACCAGCAGAGTGGAAAGAGGGATATCTCATCAAGCTCCCAAAGAAAGGTGACCTCAGTTCATGCTCCAACTACAGGGGAATAACGCTGTTGTCCATACCAGGAAAAGTGTTTAACCGCATCCTGCTGAACCGAATGAAAGACGCAGTGGACCCGCATCTCCGTGACCAACAAGCCGGCTTCCGAAAAGAGAGATCGTGCACGGACCAGATCGCAACCCTGCGCATCATTCTGGAACAATCCTTGGAATGGAATTCGCCCATGTACGTCAACTTCATCGACTACGAAAAAGCGTTCGACAGCGTGGACCGGCAATCCCTATGGAAACTACTGAGACACTACGGGGTGCCAGAAAAGATCACCAACATCATCAGGAAATCTTACGAAGGGATGACCTGTAGAATCGTCCATGGCAGACAGCTCACTGACGCCTTTGGAGTGAGAACCGGAGTGAGGCAAGGCTGCTTACTCTCACCTTGCCTATTCTTGCTGGCCATAGACTGGGTAATGAAGACGTCGACGAACCAGATGCAAAATGGAATCCAGTGGACACTCTGGGAACAGTTAGATGATCTAGACTTTGCTGACGATTTGGCCCTTCTCTCCCACACCCATCAACAGATGCAGGAAAAGACCAGCAGGGTAGCAAACAACTCCGCTAGACTGGGCCTCCACATCAACAGAGGGAAGAGCAAGGTGTTTAAGATCAATGCATCCAACAACACACCCATCACAGTCCAAGGCGAGGCGCTGGAGGAGGTAGACAGCTTTACATATCTCGGCAGCATCCTGGATAAATATGGGGGAACGGATGAAGATGTCAGAACCCGCATCGGTAAAGCGCGAACAGCCTTCTAACAGCTGAAGAATATCTGGGGATCCAGCACAATTAGCATCACCACCAAGATCAGGCTCTTCAATACCATCGTGAAGCCAATACTCCTCTATGGAGCAGAGACCTGGAGAACCACTGTGGTCACCATAAAGAGAATCCAGGTCTTCATTAACTCCTGCCTCAGGAAGATCCTCAAAATCCGATGGCCAGAAAAGATATCCAATGAAGAATTATGGACGAAAACGAACCAGCAGCCCGTTGACGAAGCTATCCTTCAGAGACGCTGGCGATGGATAGGTCACACCCTCCGCAAGTCCGCGTCCAGTATAACTAGACAATCTCTCACCTGGAATCCTCAAGGAAAGAGGAAGAGAGGGCGACCTAGAAACACCTGGCGCCGAGATCTGGACGCAGATGTCAAGCAGATGGGAAAGACGTGGGGGCAGCTGGAGAGACTCGCCCAGAACCGAGATGCCTGGAAGAAGCTGGTCGGCGGCCTATGTCCCAAACGGGACCACAGGCGAAGAAAAAGAAAAAGAGTGGTTGAGAGGTCACTTCCCCCCCCCCCCCCCAATGGGTTTTTTCTTGTTGTTCATTGCAGATACAGGAGGGTCTTAGGACAGTGGTGATGATCCAGGTCAACGTTTATTACATATATAATCATCTATTGACAATTAACATTCATGGAAATTGGTCATCTCCCACTTTTGGACCAATGGCTCTATGTATGTGTTTTATATCATTGCATTTCCTGATTTGTCGACAACTTTGTAAAGTCCTCCGAGATGACTGCTGTTGTGATTTAGGGCTATTCAAAAATAAATTGAATTGAACTTTCCCCACTCAGCAAGAAGATCCTTAACCTGGCAAGAGCCAGATTGATGATTGTGTAGAACTCTAACGCGTTCTCCACGATATCAATCTGGGATTTCTCCCGGAGAATCCTTTCGGGGAAAGGAGGGATAAGCAGCAGAATACTTCAAGCTGATTGGGCGAAGTGACGCTGTGTGCCCGCCTACCAAGGTTGCCGTCCAGAAATGCACAAAGCGCCTCTCGCTGTTCATCTTTCAAAAAAGAAATTGGAGATTCTGCTAAAACTGACTTGATAGCCTCAGCTACGCGTCCGTCCTCCTGCGTAGCCATGTTTGTTTTGCTTCGGCCCGGCACTTCTTGCTTTCGTCAAACCCGGATATCCCGCCCTAAACCCCCAGACTGGCGCGTGATTGGCTCGCACACCCAGTGGTTCGACTCGAAAAGTGTAAGCGGGAGCGGTACAAGATGTATTCTCGAGTGTTTGTGAACTCACAAATACCGCGAGAATTCAGCTTGCAGGCAAGGTTAGAAGATCCTAGGAGGTCAGTACCAGGAGGGAGCTCTTTCTGAGTGGAATTTGCATGATCCTCTGTCATAGGTGCCACTTTTTTAAAATATACAAGTAGAGGCTCATCGTGTCTTTGCCTTTGCCTCCCTGTTTCCAGAATGATTTTTACCTGGGTGCTAATGAATTCAGGCCGATACTTGGGCCCCAGAGCACCTATAGGATCGGCGGCTATGATCCCTTGGTTTCTCCCCATCTCACAAGACATGTTGGTCAGGCTGGAGCACGCACAGTCACAGCGTCGCCGGCTCAGGACAAACCGTCAATCTGATTTATGTAATTCATTTCTAATTCCATATCAAACGACAAATAAATAGCCTCACTATAACTTGTAAGGACATTTAGAAGAGCCACTACTGTGATTGGTTATTGTACTAACTCAGAGCCTGATGTTGGCTGAACAATGGAAAAGTGTTGCCGAGCACAAAGAGTTAAATACTTTTGTTTTGCGATGATTTCTGGACATATCATGAGGAATTACCTAAAATATCGTCACAGAATTAATAACTACATCATCCTAACATTTGGAATTTGCAACCCCTTTATCTTTAGTTCTACTTCCTGTTTTGAGATTATCTGCCCTGCCCTCATGTGTATCACCTGTTTTAGTCTTGTGTGGCGGTATTGCTCTTGTAATTGATTGCCAACTGCCGTAAAATGTACACATAAATTCTTGTGTATTTAAACCCTGTGTCATCTTTCACTCCCTGCACTGTCATTCTCATTCCAAGTCTGTTTTAGTTCTTGTCTCCGGTCTCTGTTTGGTTTCCTTTTGTGTCCTTTTCTCTAGATTTTGTTTTGTATTACATTTTATTGAATCCATTATTTTTGTAGTTTTTCGTTTCGGGTAAAAAGAAAATTGCCACCGTGACACCATCCTGACTCAAAATGATTAATTTAAAACAAAGTCAACTTGATGTTACCTTTGTTCTAGTTGCATAATGTGTCTATAAATAGGCAAATGTAAATCAAACAGTGGAAAATACAGTATGACCCAAGTTGACATTATGATGAAAAACCACAAGCCCCAAACCAACCAAAGCAGACAATCTTTCAGTGGAAACTTTGTGACATTAAAATGTTTCTCTGAGAAGCACTTTCTCCTTTGATAATATGTTTCAAACAAAACCAGAGACAGCAATGAGTGAAACTGTAAAACTTCCCACACACCATTCTTGCTTTTTCTTTCTGTGTGTTTGGAATTTAATCATGTATAAAGCATTTTTATTATTCCTATGAGCTTCGATGCATGTCAGGGGGATTTCTCAGTGGTTCTGGGGCTTGTGCATGTTGGGTCTAGTGTAGTGGTGATGCCAGCCAAATGATAGAGCGACAGATGGCTGGGAATGTAAAAAATGTCCAAGATCAGAGCCAGGCCAGAACCGCAACAATGAGATTTGGAGGAAAACACAAAACAAAGAAGCAGAGAAAACATCCTCAAATTTCGGATTTGAAGATCGGTGACTTTGTGAATAGGACGTAACCTGTTGTCTGACAAACAGGAGTGTTGTTCTGACCAGTGCTGAGATGCTATTGTTATGGTTGGATGCATAAATAACCTTGGTTAGAAGTAATTTTGATGATTACTATAATTCCACACAATACAAATACTTTTTTGGGTTGACATCATAAACACATGATCCCATAATTCAGCAGTGGGTTGAACATTTTTTGGAGGATTGAATTGAGTAGTATAAATAATACTATTTTGAGTACTTAAAATAGTATTGAAACTAGACAAATGTTTGGGCAAGTATTGATTCTAAAAAACAGGACAGAAATTTCCATTTCTTGATCACTGTTAAACTATTCTCAACATATTTACTTTTAGCCTGATCCCATCATATAACTGAAACTAAGTGGGCTTGGGCCTGGTTGGGACTGTGGTGGGAGACCTCTGGGAACACCAGGTGCCACAGTGGGGCGGCTACGGCTGTAAAGTGCTAAACTGTTGTTGTGTCCTTAGACAAGACACTTCCCCTACATTGCCTAGAATGAGTCTGATGTGACTCGGTCTTCCCCCAGATTGACAGGCAGAAGTGTGAATGCACAATGTCATGTCCAATAAAGCGCTATATAAAACCAAGGCATTAATATTATTCTGAAATATTGAGATGATGTACAAAAATGTACAACGCTTCTTTATGCACAATCACATTTTATAGGGACACTGATGTGGAGAATCACACACTAGTAACACGTGTAAAACTCATATTTGAATGTATTATTATTGTATTAAAGGAAGAGATCATATTTAAATAAATGTCTGAACTGAAACTTGATTGCGCCTTTTATAGATTTCAGTATAGCTTGTTAAAAAGGGGGGAAAAGTTTACATCAAAACAAACAAAGCCTGATCACAGATGTAGCATTGTGTAAACTGGCAGTCTCACCGATCCCCAGAGCATTGTAGAAATCATTTAATACTTTTGAGAAAAATGTACCCATGCACTACTGTTACAAAACCTTCCTTCATGAGAAATGATTCAATGATAAGTCTAAAAATCATCCAACAATTAGTAAATCTTTTATTTTGTGTATGATTAAAATATAGTCATGCAACTCCAGCAGTGGATTATCATTAAAATAGGACATTTCTAATATTGTTGTGTTGAACGCAAGTCTGATATACTGGATTAGTTATCTGTGTGTTGTTGCAATTACTTTACATGTATACAAGCAAAAGCAATTTAGCGACAGGCACAAGGTTTTTTATGACAGCAGTGCGGGAGAATGGAAAGGAGAACAGCTAGAATAAGATCATCAATCCAACCCACAGTGAGAGAGAGAAAGAGAGGAGACAGGGAAGACGTGTGGAGACGGCTAATGTGCCAGGGCCCTTCAGGCACTGCTACAGTACAACTATGCTGAATCAATGCTTTTCAAAACGGCCATCTGAATCTATATTACAGGTGCATATTGATCTCCAAATATATCGCAAGACAAGATAAAAACATGTTATTACATCAAGTAGATCGTCTAATTTATATACATTGTCTACATGAAAGATGGATTAACTTATTCTTTCATGTAAACAAACAAATATGCCGAACAATTAATGAGACACGATTGATTGTCCAAATATTATTCAGATTAAAAGACAACATTCTTTAAAAATATTGTGGATTTTACAGCACAATGTTCTTCTCATCAGACATCCCCACATTATATTTTTGCAGTAAACTTCACTGGTTTAGGAATGAAGGTTGACTGTGGTGATTATCAAATGTACAGACAACAAAGACTTCCTGTTTACTTTAGTGCTCATCGTGCAACCAATCTCTTACTTCCTGCTGGAATATAAATCAGCATAGGCCCGTATTGATTTGCTTTAGCCCAATCCATGGAGTGGTTATCCACCGCTTTCAGTTGCTGAAACAACACTGAAACAGATCTTTGAGTCAACAAGCTCGTTCTTTTTTTAGAACCACAACAAGGTTAAGAACTTATAGGGGAGGCTACAGAAAGTTGTGTTAGCACAAGAAAATCAAAGATAAGGCGTCAGGAATAATTTTGATGGCTAAATTAAAGTAGATGACAAAATATATTCCAGAATGAGGTAAACAAGAACAATGAGGAGTGTCTACACTTTGATATGCGGTAAGTAAAAGAGGAGAAACTGTCACACATCTAAAGTATTATCCCTTATATCATCAAGTTTGAACTTTACAGAGCACACCGCGACGTGAATCAATGTTTAGCAATCTTAATGCAATCACACAGTGAAAAGTCAGCTGCCGGGCTATCTTTAGTCAGAATTAACAGCCCAGAACTTTTCTCAGAAAATCACAATGAAATGGGCTGGATGATCATTAGTGACGCAAGCTAGTCGCAAGTTCACTAATCTTCTTACTCTGTCTATGATATCCTCTTTGACTTAGAGGCTGCGATGTAGCAACCTAATAGTTTTCATGCAATGTGCCATATGGACAATCCACAACCTGCGTCATATCATTAATAGACTTTTTTCTATTTTAATTTTTATTCCGAGTTACATGGAGTTGACCTCGTAGGATTGAAGGTTGCGTTGGCTCCATTTTGCATTTTTGTGTTTCATAATCCCACATTCTCAACATTACTAGTCTAGTACTATATCTAGCCAAGTGTATTTTCAACTAGGGAAAATTTAGTATTACATGGGGATGCATCAATATTTTGGCTGTATATATCTGCTGATTTCACAACTAACTTGTTATAAAATGTGTGCAAGTAACAACAGAACAACTTCAATTATAGTAAACACTCTGGGGTCATATCAGGCTGTACATGGTAAACAATATGCCCAATATCAGAACCAATGATCTATACCAGTATCATATCTGTGCCTCCCTAATATTATGAATTCACAGATGAACAATGGAGAATGGTCACAAAGACATAAACAGTATAATCATATTTTCTATGTTTAAGCCTCTTGGTGCAGTTGAAATGTAAAGAAGAAAGTTGTCTTTCAGGACAACAGCGAATTATTCCAATTATTTAATGGGCTTCAATGTAATCCAGCTGTATCTAGGGCACTTACACTGTAGCATCCACAAAACTCTCATTAAAATGCAAGGGACATGCACAAGGCCTAATATAGTAACTACCAGTGGACTGTAGTGGGCTACATGTTTCAGACAGATGGCATCACACTGGCGCTGGTTCAGTGGAGCATATGAGAGAAAAAGACTCAAGTGAATCAATCAATGTACCACAAGTGTAGTGGCTCTGGCAGCCTGTACCTGTCTCACCCATAGACTGTCTCACCAGAGCAGGGAATAAAAGGGAAGCTGATGTCCAGAGCAATGGCTCCCTCTAACGGACAGAACTAGTTTACCTTTTTAATTATTTAGGATCAAAGAAAAATGGCCTTTGTGGGGTTATTATAAATTTACGTTTTTTCAAAGATCCACATTTTAATTTATGTCTGAAGGTATCATGCATTTATGAGATAGACAGTGTGTGATGAATGAACAACGTTACATCAGGCTTTTTTTTATATGATAAGCAACTTCAATAGTATTCCACCTCTGAAATTCCAATTACCATTTGGAACAGAATAATCAGAAACGTACAAACATTTCAACTGTTTGTTCTTCTGAATATTTGGCTGGTTGTCGACCCCTGCTGGTTATTCTGAAGAATGCAGCGTGTGTGTCAGCAGGAGTTCTTTTACATCATGTCTTTTCAATGAATGAATGAAACATGAGTGTACTGCTGCTACAGTTACGCGAAGGGAAACTGAGAGCTACACCCATGGGTGTTTATCTAAAATAAGCCCCGTAGTGA